GGGCCTCAGTGCCCTCATTCTGCTTGGTGGCAGCATAGCCTAGCTCACATTCAATCCTTGTCCATCCTGACTCTGCCACTGACTTCTACAGCACAGTAGCGTCTCTCCACGGAGCTACCATTTCACTCCGTCACTACACATCCTTTTGGGGACTTACTGGGCTCTGTGAGAGTTTCTTGGGCTTCTGTCTCCCACAATATATAATTTGCACCCTGCAGGTTCAGACTCCGCCATGTCCTGCAGCAGCACGGGGCAGAGCCACCAACCACCCTGACTTAAAGAGCAGATTCCAAGAGGCAAGGGTTGCCTCACTTAACATCACCTTGTAAAGATTAGGGTCATCTCCAAAAGCTCTGAGAGACCTCTGGCACTCCCTTGTGGCTTGTCACCACAAACGGAGGGAGGATGGTGTGTCCAAAGGTGACTGACCACACATGCCCCCGAGCTGAGGGCACAGGCTACAGGACTGCTCCTCCCCCCCGCTAGGAAGCCTTCCTAGGGAGCTGGAGGAAAACTGGGGGGCAACCTCCTCTTTGGAGGTTCCAAACCTAGCTCCCCATGGAGCTGTGTGAGTCATCTCCATGCCAGGAATGCCACCACTCTCACCCCACTTCACCAACCCTCAGAACGAATGCCAACATTCACCGGGACCAAGTGCACCTCCTGTCGGCAGACGGAGGATCTTAAGATCTCAAGATCTCATCCATTCCCTGCCATGTCTCACTTCCCCTCCACCCCAAGCAGGCCACACAGACAGGGCTGCCACGTGGACTTGTATCCCTGGAGGGCCGGATGTGAGCTGCCAAAGGACTCAAGGGGTAGAGGGGCTCGGAGGAGTCTTGCAGATAGGCCTGAAGAAAGAAGAAGAGATCTGCTCTGTTCAAGAACAGTGTGAGGAAGACAAGAACAAGGAAGAACTTGAAGACTCCTTCCAATCCTGCTTCCATTCTCTTTCACTCCAGCTGGACGCTACCAACAGAGATCGCAGTTGAGAAGGCTAGAGCTGAGGGTGTGGCCCAGTTCTGCACTGGGGGAGTGGGGAATGGGAGGGGAGGTGGTGGTGGCTGATGGTGGAACATGGATCCAAGCCCCTTGGCAACGTTGAAAAGATGGAGCCCTCCTCTTCCTGGCCCCCACGCTATCCTTCGGACGGCTGTGCTGTGCCGAGCCGTCAGAGACCCTGTAATATCAACTCAACAATGCATGTTCTACAACTACAGCTACGGCTACCAGTACATCTACTACAGTGCATGCATTTAGTTCAGTCCCACAGATACATACAATCTAAGAACAGGCAGGGGAGGTGTGAAATGTTTTACTGGACAACAGGTGTTTTGGAGTTGTAACTAATAAAAAAAATCGAAAACGAAAGTGTACAAAAAAAGACATTTCTCGAGAGTTGGATATGAGTTTGTTTCTGGAACTGTTTCATCTGAACAAGCAAAAACATGCAAACCAGCTGGTACTAACAGGAAGCTGGACACTGAGAGAGGATTAATAGGTGTGGACAAACCTTCCCGCTGAGCGTGCTCAGAAGAGTGTTTGAGAGGAGGTGTGCAGATCCTAGTGTAAGAGAGGCGGGAAAGTATGCCTCAGAGACACTCTCTCACCGCAGCCCCAACCAAGCAAGAGAAAAGACAACAGAACATGACTGCTCACACTCACCACCACCATTGGGAGCTCCCGTTACTAGATCGGAATAAAACTGGCAAGTGTAAAGTACAGTAAGGGGTCCTGGCTGGGCCGGAGATGGGCTGGGGTGGGGGCGGGGTGGGTGGTGCCAGGGGGCTCAGAAGGTCTAAGACTCATACACGGACCCACCCATGTTATCACCCTGAAAATCCGAACTACTTCCCTCACCTGTCATGGGAGTCATTTGCCAAACTGGATTTAGGTTTGGGTGGGGCATGATGGGGCCACTGGAACTGAATGAATACGATCAAAATAAACAAACAAACTCTCGACTGAGCACAAGAAAAGATGACATTTCAAACTACCGGTGAAGGTAAAAGAAAAGTGAACCACTGATAGTGAAGTTATCTAGGAGTTGGCAGGGACCTCCCCTGGTGGGGTCACCTGAGCCCTGCTCACCTCAGGTCCTGGGGGAGTTAGGAAAAGGTGGGCAGGCTGGCCCAGAGGAGCTGGCCGAGGTAGGTGCAGAGCTCAAGCCCCTCCCCCCCCAACCTCCTACCCTGACACCATAGCCCTGACAGATCCAAGTTGCCACCCTGAGCTGCTTCCCACCCCACGGCCCTCAGCAAGCACTTCCCACCTCAGGAAGCTCCCCCAATAAGTCATAATGGAAGGGGGAAAAAAGCCCAAAAGGGTGGAGCTAGACAAAAATGAAAGACAAAAAAAGGGCCTTCCATAGGATGCCTAATCCCTAAACCAAGCCTGAGAGCCCCCGGGAAGCAGAGGCCACGTCTCCCAGTGTTTGGAGTCACCTGCCAGGTTTAGCACGGCACGAGCCCAAGGGAGGTACTGCACAGACTCCCTGAACCGTGCGAATCCCCGTAAGGGAGTGCAGGTGAGTCCGTGTCGACCTCCAGCAGTCAAGGCTGCTTGCTCGGGAGGCTGAAGGAGCATCCTTATCCCCCGGGAGGAGCGGGGATGGTGGGCCAGGGTTGCAGGCGCTGGTAAGGGTGGAACTGGGCCATCAGCCCTCAGCCAGCCCCTGTGGCCTAGACTGACGCATGTACCCAAGTGAGTCTTAATTCACAGCAGAGAGGTTTTGCCACTGAGAGGCCCCTCACAGGTAAGTAATTGGCCATCCCGCCAGGCTCAGAGTCCAGATCATTTTCTAGAGGGAGGGAGGTGGCAGTACCCACACAGGCCAAAATGCATTAAAAGAAATAAATGCAGAGAACTTCCTTCCCCAACCTTATAACCCTGCTCCAGGTCCAAAGGTGGGGCTGGAGCGCTGGGGTACCCTGTCTGCACGCAGGCAGGTGTCTTCCAGCCCAGGTGGTGCTCTGACTGTGGTGGGCACAGTCTAGTCATCGCCCTGGGGCACACCCCAAGCCCGGGACCCCCAGGCAGCACTATGGGGTTGCCCTGTAGCTTCCGGGCCAGGCCTGCACCCTGTGGGGCAGGGACCTCGGAGCTGAGGATTTACCCCCTGCACTAACCCAGGCTGGTGCGGGCGGGTGGTCTGGGAGCACACTCCTGAATACAATTCACTAACAGTGCAGCGATGAGCATGGCTGGCCTAGAATGGGCTGGGGGAGACTTCGCTCCCGATGGAAATGGCTACAAATAAAACACCATTGATCCTGAAAAAAAATGTGTGGCTGGAGATGACCTTGGGGGTTAGGAGTTAGAGGGAGGGGGTGGGACTCCCGCCTGGCTCTGCGGGCGAGGAGCAGGGAGAGGGTGGGGTGGCCAAAGGGGACAGAGACCATGGGAAACCGCTCTCAGACTCACAAAGAACCCCATGCTGCCCTTTAAACTTGCCATGAAGTCAAGGAGAATGGGGTGGGGTGGGGAGAGAGGCAGGGTTAATTTCGGGTTAAAGTTTAGTTTCATAATCCAAGTTATAAAAAGAAAGAAACTGAACGGAGAAAACAACAACCAACAACACTCAAAAATCTCAGTTTTCTTTTTATCTTTCTTTCCCCAACCCCAGGCACAGGTAGGACCAAGGCTTGTTTATAACTATACCCAAAAGCACTCAAGTTAAAAAACCAAACAGAACAGGGAGACACGAGGCCGCTGCATACTCTGCCCCAGGGCCCGGGGTGGAAGGACCGAGGGACACTGGCCAGAGAGCAGGTGGGGCCTCTGGGGGCCAGCCAGGATGGGTGGGGGGCTCAGGAAGTGTGTCCAGCTCTCTGGACCTGCCCCCCAGTCTCTGGCAAACTGCCCCTCAGCGGCCCCCTGAGAACTCCCGGCCCCTCCAAACAAAACCCCATGGGTGATTGGGGCAGTGGATCCTTTGTAGCTCCAAGGCAGTGCCAGTTTGCATGGAACGGATTTTTTCTAATGGGCCTCACTGTGCCAGCTTCTCATCACTGAGGGTTTGGGTTTTTGGCATTTGCCCTCTGGGCTTTTAATGCTCCATTTCCTGGCACCCTCACCGGCACCCGCTCCCGCCCCTGCCCCCTAGAGTCCTGCCACATCAAACTAGGCGCTTCCCTTGTGCTCCGGCGCCCTGTCTGTGGGGTGTGGGGGAGAGCTGCAAACCATGGCTACTCAGTTCGGGAGGACCAGGGGTTGGGGGGAGCCCAGCACAGCCGAAGGCCTGCTCGTCTGGGAAGGCAGAGGGCATTTGGGGAGGGGGACAAAAGGCCCCCCTGGGGCTGTGTCCTAGACGTGCCCCAGCTCTGGTCTGACCCCACGGTGCTGCTGGGAAAGTGTTCCCATGTCCCTGGAAAGGTTCCAGACCTCTAAAAGGTTGGATTTGGAGACCCAAGGACGGGGCAACCTCATGGGAAAGACAGCCCGATTCCCTTGGCAGCTGGAGCCCGGTAGGGAGCCTTGCTTAGAAGAGTCTGGAAGGCAGCAGGGGCTCCAGGAAACAGCAGCTTCATTCATGGAGGTCAAGGGCTGGCCCCACTTCCGGACTTCAGGGCCTTCGGGGGTGTGGCCAGATCAGCAAGCCCACCTGCCAGGTGCAGCAGGGGCCCACGACTTAGCGCCTCTCTGGCTGGGTCAGGGACCCAAGGAAGGGAGCCTGTTGAACCAGCAAAAGCCAAGGAGGGAAATGACCACAGGTGCCCAGAAGCCAGCTGTCAGGTGAAGGGGTGGTCAAAGTCAAAAAGAAACTCGGTTTGGTTTGGTTTGGTTTCAGTGAGAGAATAATCTGCCTCTGGTTTGCAGTCCCATGCCTTGACTAGCCCTGCTAGGAGTGCCCCGGGCGGCCGGGCCTCCCTGTCCACCCCCTCCCGGCTGTGGTGAGAGTGGTGTTGGACAGATGCAGCCACACAGATCCGACAGGGCCTTGACCTTCCCCTCACGCTGGGGGCATGCCTGGAAGCCGCCTGTCCCGTACACCTTCCTACCTGATCCTCTTGCCGCTGCCACCGCCGCTGCCGCCACTGGTCCGTACGCTGCTGCTGGGAAGCCTGGCGGGGACAGAGGAGAGCCAGAGTCAAGGAGAGATCCTTGGAAGGGTGGGGGACAGACCTGTCTCACGGGCCACACAAAACACAGGACCGGGAAAGAATTTTCACAGGGTAGCTTTGGGGAGGGACACAGATCAGTGGCTCTCAGGCTTCTGGAAGGCACAGCATCTTTAGGTGTGTTCGATTCTCACACACTTGTCACCCCAGAAACTGGTTCTAAAAGGCACACAAAAATAATTCAAGAGTATCGGGAGGAATTTTCTCGTGAGAACCGGGGCTGAGCTCCCTGCTGGCTCTGCGCTGACGCGTGGTGATTGCCTGGGGCTTGTCCAGAGCAGGGCCGAGCGTGGCGGGGCTGGCTTGCTGCTCCTGGCAGGGGTCCGGGCTGAGTGGTCTGCCCTGCACCACAGGCAGGAGGCACCTGGGATGACCCCATGACAGGACAGGCATCTTGGCCAGGAGGCGGCTTAACTCCAGCTGTTCGCCAAAGGCTCTGCAGGTTGGCTTGGCCATCTTAACTCTAGACTTCGTCAAAACTTCCTGTCGGCAGCGTCACAGCCCCAGGCCTGAGGGTGAAGCATTTTGGGAGGTTCCCAGGTGACTGCATACGCATGAAGCCAGATGTGGGCGGGAGTGTGGGGCTACGGGGACCCACGTGGGGTGATTTCTCAGTGTTTCAACCTCTCAAAGCAGTTATGGGGATTTCGATGTGTCTCCTGTCTGAGCCTTGCGGTCCAGAGGAAGCTGGCATTGGAGGGGCTCCTAGGGGTCTCTGGAGTCCTTCTTGATCAAGGCTTTTGCTACCTGAAACTGCACCAGCAGCAAGGCTGTCCAGCCAATGGGAATACAAGTCAGGAGGCCAAGGTGACCCCGTGTGGCTGCGTAGTGTCTAAACGAAGGAAACCAAGTCCTCTACCCTGGGCTTCTCTTGGCCGCTAGCATGTGACGCACAGCCTGGCACTGGGACACACACAGATACACTCCCACACACGTAAAGACCAACGTCCTCTACCATCCAGGGAGACGCTCGCTCGGAGGCCTGGCCTCAAGACCCACTTCCAGTGACTGTGGTTTTCAATGATGTGCCAGAAGCCAGCTGCAAACTCCATGAACAGCGCCCAACCAGGCTGCTCAACTTTAGCCACTGAGCCTTTCAAATGCGGAATTTCTATGGGGCAAGAGGGAGGAAGACATGCACCATCAAGGGCGGGGGACAGAGGAGGAAAGGAGAGAGGAGAGATCCCCCAAACAGAGCAAACTAGAAGCCCACTAAACTCTAAGACTATTGTCCTAGCTACATGGTACTACTGAAGGGAAAGAAATTCAAAAGGGGAACAAGCTACTCTAAAAAGGTCAGGCTACGCTACTTAAAATGTCAATGAAAAGAGACATACTTGCATTTAAATATGGTAATAGGGCTGTCGAAGGGGGAAAAAGAAAGATCCAGGTGAAATAAATGTATAGCAGCTGTCCCTGGCTACGGGAAGGGGCCGCCCCCTCCCATGACAACCACGAGCCTGGAGGCCTCCCCTTCCCCAAGATCGGCCGTGAGTGAGCCGAGAGGGGGACCAAGGAAGGGCCCCCCAAGTCCTCTCCCCATTTCTTCCAGGCAGGATCTAGAGGCCTGAAGATGAGGGAGCTGGCAGTAACTGCGGGAGGAAAATGAGGAAGAAGTCAAGTTATTGTTGTTGCCCCAACCTCAGCACACCCAGGGTCCTGCTGCAGGCCCAGAGCAGGACCCAGGTCCGGGGAGGAGGCCGGTGCGGGAGGAAGGGTGAGCCACTCTTCCTGCGCTCTCAGCACACACTCGGAACTGAGGTTTCCTGGGAAGCATGGGGGCTGTGGGGGAGGAGCAGAATTGGGGGAGGGGAATGCAGGCAATGAAAAGGCTTGTTAACAAAAGGCCTATTTTCTGGAGTTGAGCACATTTTGGACAAAAAGTCTGAGAGAAAGAAGAAGAAAAAAAAACTTATCCAAGAAAGGAAATCCATTATCCTTAATCTCAGATAAAGTCTCCTGCTGGAGACCGAGCAGCAGACGCTGCTGAGGGCTGGGATTTAATCTCGGCCACGGGGAGGGAGGCGAGCGGAGCCATGGGTGTGGGAGGAGCGGCTGCAGGAGGACGGCCGCCCAGGCTGCCCCTCTCAACAGCTCCTCGCCAGCCCCGCTGCCTCTGTGCCCTCCTGAGATCCCAGGGCCACTGCTCCCAACGCCTGGCCTGGCTGCTTGGGAAGCTCCTGGAGGGGAGGGACAGTGCCTGCACCAACATGCTGCCCCGGCTGCCCTCCTGGCCCACTTCCCCGCTCCCTGTGGGCCCCTCCTGCCCTGCTACCCGCCTCGCCAGTCACTCCTCACCCCAAGGATGTTCTCCATGTGACCTGGCGGGACGAAGTTTCCAGGGCCGGTGCTCTTCCTGGTGTCTGGGCTTGTGGGGGATGGGCAAGCACAGACACAGGAAAGGGGTGTGTGTGTTGGGAGTGTGTGGGTTGGGAGTACATGTTGTGTGTGTGTACATCGTGTGTGTTATATGTGTGTGAGTGTGTGTTGCGTGTATGTGTTGTGTGAGTGTGTGTTGGGTGGGCTGAGGCTGCCCCAGCTGGGACCGCCACAGGCGAAAGCATCACCACAGCAGCCTGGCCTAGAGCTGCGGTGACAGAGGGCACAGACTGCCTCCAGGACAGGCTCCTCATAAGACGCAGGAGGGGACTGAGGACCACAAGTTCCCAGCTTCAGGAGGCTCCCGGTGGCAATGACCGTCCCTAGGGCTGGACCCAGAAGGGCTGGGAAGTGCAGGGAAGAGAAGGCTTGCAGTGTCGCCTGGTGGCCCTGTGCTCAGCACTTGTCCCCAGGCCCTGAGAAGGCAGAGGTCACCCAGTGCAGGCTACTTCCTTGGGAAACCAGGGGGACTGGCTGCCAAGGAGGGGACTGCCCTGGTGGGGGGTGCCAGGGGAAGACTGCGGGGAATTAGGTACAAGGTCTGGCAGGGCTCAGGGCTTCTCGTTAGCTGCGGCCCAAGCAAAGCTGGGCAGTGATCTCTGGTCCACGGGTGCCCACAGCCACCTGGCAATGCACCGCCCAGAGTGGGAGACGACTCCCTCCAAAACTGGATTTGGAGTGGGGGTCCCTCCTCAGTACTGTCCCTGGCCAACACAGGAAGGGGCCACCCTTCTCGTGAGGCAGGGTAGCACAGTAAACAGCTGAGCACACAGACTCGGAGCCTGTCTGGGTTCAAACCCTGGCTCAGCCACTTACTGGTTGGGTGACCCTGGGCGAGTTGCTTGCCCTCCCTTTGCTTTGATGTCCCCATCTGGGAAGAAGATGATGGTCACAGTGCAGGATTAACATATGCCAAGTGCTTAGATGAATACCTAGTGGTGAGTAAGCTTACACCAGTGATAGCTGTCACTGCAATGAGGCCTGCCGGGTCTCTGTCCAGCCACTACACCAGGCCTGTCTGCAAGACAGCACTCTGCCCTGTGCAGGGCCATTCCTCTTTCTCGGTGGTGGAAGCCAAGCCCACGCGGTTGTCAACACACAGGGGCCCTGAATTCCTCACTGATAATAATGGTCTGTAACCCTTCGTAATGTCCCGACTTCACGATGTCATCTTAGTGCAGCTAAATTTCCATTGCTCAAAATTAGAATATGCATTCTGTTCAGCTCTAACAGTGACCACTGGACCAAGCAGTCTGGTACGACCCTAGTGGCTTAGTACCTCCCTTGTGTTAGTCGTAAATCCTGCAGGAAGGAGGAAAACATTTTGCTGAGGGCCTGAGGGCTACAGGTTGGCTCTCCGGGAACTTAGGTATTAGGAATGCAGTATGCCTGGTACGAAAGAATGAAGCGCTAATGGTGGAATTCCAGGCATGGGAGGCACCACGTCTTGCAGGTACTGTCATTGTTCAATGGGGGTCAGACCCAAAGACCCGTTCTCGCTAGTCTGGCGCTCCCCTGCCCTTCAAGTGGGATAACAGAAGATTCAGCAGGCTTGGTATCAAAGTCAGCCCCCACCCAGGCTGACCCTGCCTTGCTGTGTGACTTGGGCACGGTGCTTCGCTTCGCTGGGCCTTGAGTAACTCCTCTGCTGCAAGGAGCTTAGGCAAGATGCTCTCTCAAGTCCCTTCGCCTCCAACTCCGCACAAGCCTGTCTTGGTGTAGGAGGATAACAAACCTAAATCCTCCAGGATTGGTGCTAACCCAACTCTGGGGTTAGTGATTCATCCAAGTGAAAGATGTCACCATCCTGCTGACAGCGAATGAGACACTTTGCTGGACTTCTCGGAGCTGTGATGATTTACTGCAAATTAGAAGTCAATGGTGCTTTGGGGATTTAAAAAAATTTTTTTTTTGAGAATTATATGAGACCACACTTATTTTTTACTGCTTCTGTGGCACTTACCAGTTTCTTGCTTACCTAAGCACAGTTATTTTTATGTGCACATCTTATTTCTCTTGCTAGGTGACAAATTCTTCTAGGGCAGGGACTTGGTCACATGTCCCACTTAGGATCTAGCCCAGAGTCTGCCCCACAGAAGATTTTCAAGCAGCATCAGCTGATGTGGTCAGGATGCTTTGGTGTGGCAAATGAGGGTCAGGTCTGGGAGTCACTGCTCTGGGTAAACCGCAGCTGAAACGTGGCACCCCTACAAGATAGCAGCCCCTCCGCTACCAAGATCTTCCACCCTGGGGGTGGGGCACATTCAATGCCCCTGGAGTGGGCCAGGAGCATGAGCCACCCAGCAGAGGGGACCCGGGCTATGGCACAGGGGAGTGCCCTGCTCTGTGTAAGTTACTCATTCTCAACCCTGGTTGCTCCCTGGAACCTCCTGGGGAGCTTTAATAAATGCTGATGCCTGGGTCCCACCCCTGAGATGCTGATTGACTGGGTCTGCAGTGCAGCCTGGGAGCTGGGACCTTTAAAAGCTTCCCAGGTGACCCCTGTGGATAGCCAAAGTTGTAAAAAGGTTAAATCATGGGACACATCTGCAGACTGTCCGCCC